CTTCCGCCCGCTGGATGACATACTTTTGAGTACGAGCGAGCCACGCAGATAGTGTGTTCTGAATACGTTATTTCAGCACGCTGAAGTCAAAATGCGAGAAATAATGATTCCAAAGAAGCACAGGCGAGTATATCACAGTATACGTCAGAAGATGAAGAAGGACAAATCAGAGGCGATCAAAATCAAAGGAAAAAGAGCGAAAATTGATGGAAAATCAGATAGCTAAGCAGGTTCGTGTAGTCCCTGGTGGTTTCGAGACGTTTGTATACTAGTTCAAGTGTGACTAGAAATCAGCCGTAACATGTCGAACTACTCTTGCTTACGTCACATCAAGATTTGGTAAACTTTTTTGACTACATGACGGGCACGTGAACTTGGACTTTCTAGATCTGTGTGTTACTCATTAGGCCGTACACCAACACCACTCAATCTTGTATAGGACCCCGCAGATAACACCATAAATCTCTTTATGTTTGGCGCTACTCTCTGTCTCTTTTTGTTCACTGTTACGTTGTTGACATCTGTTGTTGTTTGTTTGGAGATTAAAATTGTTTGTTGGGCACCAATTGTGTCACATAGATGCAAATAAACATTCTGTGATGGTTTTATTACATGCTATGCACTCATTAATACAATCGTTAAAAGCCTAGCGGGAGGAACTCGTACAACCTTGAGCGAATCAATTTCTTTACAATCACAATGTGGAGTGCCTGAGAACAAACATCTCGATCTACTATGTCAAACAGATCAGCCACCTATAGTTGGACTTACTGGCAACATGACCACAACCCGATATAAGACTATTTCTCTTCTAGATGCCATAGTTTCTACGCACTACTAGCTCCAAGAGAAACAAAATACTGAAAAAGAAAGAGGACATAAAGGATCGCGATGCTCCTTTCATTCAGTCAAACCAGTGATTCCATTGACAATCTTCGGTCCAAGGTCCAACACAAATGAAGCACCAATCCATTCCACAATTTGTACAGTGGATATGAGTGCAACCTTCGTTTCGCTCAGTGTTTACCTTGCAACCAGGACACTTCCTTGAATGTTTTTTTTTTGGCAGCAACATGCTTTATGCTGCAGAAGATGAACAGTACAAAAACGCTTTCAAGTCTTTCAAGTTCGCAGCTTACTTTTGGTTTCGTATGGCGTATTCTCAGGCTAGTATGCTTTTCTATAGTATATTTGCCAATGATATTCCGGATGAAATGTGCATTTGAGAAGGGAATTAAAGATCAAGTAACACGCAAATGGCTCGACCATTGTTCCGACTTGGTTATAGATGTACATCTACAAGGAACTACTTACTTTGTCGTAGCCTGTATCGTGATTGTTGTCGGATCTTCTATGCCGCAAACGCATTGGGCAGATTTGCAAAGCCTGTAACAAAATTTTACTAATCATCAGCATATATAAGAAAAATTACCCTAATTTCCGGTAGATAAGCCCGCGCCGATATCACGTAAAAACACCTCCGCTCGTGCAGTGTAATTTTGTACACCTTAGAAACTACCGTAAATTTGCCTATAGAGGTAATTCGATGCCCTGATTACGAAAATGACTTTCATTTTTAGCGGTGGCGCCATCTGGCGCCAGTTGGCGTCACCTTGTCACGACACCTGTTTTCACCAAATTTGGTGTAAACTTCCGTATAGGGGTTATTTGGTGTCCTGATTACGAATATGACATTCATTCTCGGCGCTGGCGCTATTTGGCGCCTATTTTCTGCTCGTCTGCGCTCTCCAACCGAGAAATATGCGTTAAACAACGTTAATGCCAAAAACGAATGTCATATTCGTAATCAGGGTCCAAAATAACCCCTATACAGAAGTTTACACCGATTTTGGTGAAAACAAGGGTCGTGACAAGGTGGCGCCAACTGGCGCCAGATGGCGCCACCGCTGAAAATGAATGTCGTTTTCGTGATCAGCATATCGAATTACCCCTATGGGCAAGTTACGGTTGTCTCTAGATGTGTGCACTGCACCACGGAGGTGTTTTTACGTGATATCGGCGCGGGCTTATCTACCGGAAATTAGGGTATATAAGTACCCATAAAAAAGTTACAACGAAATGGAAAAACACAAAAATGTCAAACCTGCAGAAAAGGCGAAGGCAATCCGGGCATGATGTCTTCCCGTCATCATCTTCTGTTTCCCAGAAAAATGATGAATTGCAGTCCGGGTAAGGACAGAATACTCCTAAAAACCAAATCTACACGCAACATCAGCACAATATTGGAAGAAGCAAACCTCGATCATCCAGTTCCACAAGTTTCTCAGCAGCAACTTTTTGGTAGAGTTGGTACTTCTCGTTACCCAATATTCGGAAATGATGCGCATCAGCTATACATCCTGTGAGACAAAGAAAGATATCGAATCGAAAAAAAAAACATTTGAGTCAATTTCACATGCTTTCGATTCAAAATGCAAACTTGTCGAAGCTAATCCTATGAAACCAGGTTACTCCTAAGAGAACAGTCTGGGAGAATTACAACACTAGTTTGAAGACTTCTTTTTTCTTCTTCTCCCTAGCGTTATCCCCTCGCAGTCGCAGATCCACTAACTAGTTTGAAAAGCTCATTCCAGCAAATCACCGTGTGGACTAGACGACCTAAGCGAATCCCCTTTCCCTAACCCAGCTCTGACCCCGAACTTCAAGAGTGGGGAGGTTGAAATGGAGGTGAGCTAACCTAAGATTAGGTTTGAGCTAAACTGGGGGAGGGAAAGGTTGAGGTGGTAGTAGATTGAGGGTAAGGTAGGGATGAGTTAAATGTTATGAAAAAGCCGTCTATCCATCTTCTCCTTAACTTTCATCCTCTACATCGCAGCGTCCGCTGTTTTTGTTGGACGTCGTCATTTTGCCCAATACATGGCCTCTGCTGTGGCCCTGACTTCTATATTATTAAATCCTTCTATTATACATGACGTTCCTATACCTTTTCTCAGAGCTCCTGGAGGTTGTTTGACTAGAACTTCGGAACCCAGTGCTTCCCCCGTAGAGTTATGTGTGGCCTTCTTAGCACGTGCCTGTACCATCGACAGCTGCACTTGCATCCTCACCTGGACACAGAAAGTCTGTAAGACCGCTCTGATATCCTCGTCTTTGACATTGCCCAGTCGCGTACAGTCACGAGCCCACTTCAGCATCGTCATTTCAGCGTAGTGGAGCTGCTTCCCACGGTCCCTGTTCACTGGCCAGCATATGAAGTATAGCATCGGCATCAGACCTTACCACGGTCTTGCACACCTTCACTTCGAGCGGTGAGGAGCACCTTCCATCGCAGAAGATTCCAGTGAACTCACTCACTCAAGTTCATCGATGCTACGTTACGCCGTGCTTTTACTGCCTGATTCAGGAATTGGTGCCAAGGTATACCAAACAGGTTACAGTCCTTCCATTCGCACTATTCGAACAAAGGAATCGCATTTATGATTTTGGTGAGGGGGTGCATTTGGGGTTGAACAAAGTCAGCTACCTCTGAGAAATGTGCCAAAGGGGTCGAAAAGTTTGAATATGTGAGATCACAGCAGATGAGCCGCTATAAGTCGAGAGAGCGCAGGTGGGAGCACCATATAGAGGGGGTCTAAAGGACCGAATTCAATGCCTGTTGATCCGGTATTATTGAAACTATTAGTGAAGGTGCTAGTTAGAGTATCGGGAGGTCGCATTCTATTAAGACTGATGGTGGTGGTGGAGGTCATATCGACACCCCCTGAAGGGGTGGGAGGTGCAAAATTTTTGGAAAACTGCGAATGCGACGGCTCTTCTATGCTCTCTCCACAACCGTCTACGACACCCTCGTACTCTTCAAGCTCTGAAACTTAGTTGTTTTCCGTTTAGGAAGCCAACTTCCTGCTGCTCGTGCCCTGAAGCTCTCTATAACCCACTATCACAGCGATATCGCCGCGCTAAGAAAGATCTTCCATGGCCTCTCCATAATTTCCTTTTCCAAAGAGAGGAACGGGCTCATAGCTATCCTTGGGTGTACTCTCACCATGACGCCCACTTCATTAGTCCTCCCGCACACTCGGACAGCTCATTTAGATAACCCTAAAGTTCTCATCTTCCCACACTGCCATTTTCCTTTTTTTCTAGTTTTCATCAAGGAGACCGCACTTTCAATGCGGTTACCATACTGTTTTCTTGTAGAGAGCAAAAGCCTGCTCAGCTTTACATAGAAGAAGAATATTTTTAGACGCCTTGCTGAAGTTTACTCACTTTCGCAACCTGGATACGGGCACGTAATGGTGTAGCCAAAAGGAGGTCGAAAAACGAAGCGACCTTCTTTGAGAGCGAACGCTAAGCATTCATACAAACACTGACGGCAGACCATATGACGACAACCGAAATCAAAAAGATACGTAGTGTGCTCATCCAAGCAGACACTGCACTCAGCATGTTCCCAGTTACCACGAATGTGGGAAAGGACGGCTCCTACCTGAAACAAAATATGGAAAGGTAAAAATGGAGAAAAGTGCAAAAGCTGCCGAAAAAAAGTTGAGCATTGAGAATTTCCCGACCAATTATGTCAGCTCGAAATGACCTTTGTTCTGGGTACTTTCACTTCTCTCAGATGGATGTCAGACTCGGCGACGGTGCAATGGTGCTAGCGACAGTGACAGTGCGCCCAGCGCAAATCATACGGATCTATAGCGACACGCCCCATTCGTCCTTGTGCAGCAAACGGCCAAAACGCTGTCACGACACACAATCGAAGACTTACACCCCCTATGTGAGCACCAGCTCATTATTCATTCGGAACATATGCCAGAAAGCTTAAGCCCAAAAGAAGCGTAGTGATAAAAAGCAAACAATACCTCATTACATTTGATACACTTGAAACAGAATGCAGCATACGAGGTGGCATGACAGTCGGCACAGTTTACTTCAATCTGCCGGCTTAAACAAAATGCTCAATTAATATGACACAAATTGAGAAAAAAAGTTGCTACCTCTTCAGGACATCCCTCCAACATGATGGCTCCTTCTTCACCAGAACAGCAGATGAAGTGCACTCGTTGCAATAGACTCGCAGTTTAGCCCGCTGGATGTCATCGCATTTCTTGCACCATACATAAAACGATCCGATCTCTGGAGTATTGCGAACCAATGGAGTGTCTCCCTCAGCACCGCTCTTGCAAGATGCCGAAGACGAGCGTTTTTCAACGAAGACAATTAGAGAGCTTAATGTGTTCATCGATAACAGGAGAAACGATATGTTTGATGTAAAAACGTTTATGCTAGACAGCAATCGACAAATGAATTTCGTGAAGAAGGATTAAAAAAACCGTATCGTGGAGAAAAGAACTTACGTTGTCGGCCCTAACAGCAGATCCTTCAAAAATGTCGCCCGCTCCAATGCACGTCCACAAAGCACGACCTTAAACACAGCGCAGGCTTGAAAAGACGACGTTCAAATATAGTGGTAAAACAGACCGACAAAGCCTTCCCTCTCCCTTTCTCAAAAGTCAGGGAAATCTCTCGCCTAACTTGTATGAGAGGGAAATATTGACGTGAAGATTGGGTGACCCCGCGTATCATTGTATATATAACTTTTGCCACCAAGTGTCCCTTTGATTATGAATGAGTTGGCCGCGTGGAGCGTTTGAACGACGCTGACCAACACCGAGGGTTGTTTGCTTCATGTGGAACGATACGTATGGCCGATGTCATAGTTTGCGAATCGAGCGATTCGCTAGCGAATCGCTGGATCCGAGCGTTGCGCCAGCGAATCGAACGTTGCACCAGCGAATCGAACTTTGCACCAGCGAGTCGAACTATGTACCAGCGAGTCGAACGATGTACCAGCGACTCAATAGTGGCGGGACCCAACGTTCAAAGGAAGCCCGCCACTTTCAAACAGTGTCACGTGACAGTGGACACTGTTTGAAAGTGGCGGGCTTCCTTTGAACGTTGGGTCCCGCCACTATTGAGTCGCTGGTACATCGTTCGACTCGCTGGCGCAACGCTCGGATCCAGCGATTCGCTAGCGAATCGCTCGATTCGCAAACTATGACATCGGCCTAAGGACGAGATTGCGCGACGTTCTAATCGTCTACACCTCCAAAGCTCAGTCTGGCCGCTTGTTTCGAAATTGCCACTGGCGACGGAATAGTGACAGCCCCATGACTAAGCTGGAGGTGCAGACGAAAGAGTCGCGCCGCCCCC